AATTGGAATTGAATTAAACCAAATTGATTACTAAAATTCCCCCGTTGTTGGGTTAAAGTATATGATAAATTAGGAATTTTAAAAATTGTGTGAGGATGTAATGGGTAAAAAAGATGGATTCCTAATGAGTTACTTAGTCCTCAAGGAATTAAAGCATTTCAATTGGGAGGCCCCCAAGGCCCCCAAATGTGTTTCCAGCACCCAAGTGCTAGGCTCCACCAACCTAGGCAAGATGACCTAATGCTGACGTCATTGTGATATTAGCAGCCAATTTAAATAACAAAAAAAATGGAATAAAATAAAATACAAAAAGACCAAAAATTTTAATTTTAATTTTTTTAATAAATACTTAGTCATATTCTTCACTTTCTACATCAAAGCTCTATACAAATTTCTCTCCTCATATCTCATGTGAATAGTTGTTGTCCTTAGATTGTCATGGCAATGGGTGGAAAACCAACAAAAAATTTGCTAGGGCAGACATTATTCATGTAAATAGTAACATCCATTGCCTCTCTTTGCCTTTTGCCATGGAAAATGGGTGAAAATGCAGTAAATACATGAGTATCCGTAATATGAATTCAACTTCTTATTTTAATTCCGATTGCGGATTAGTAAAGTCATTCATTCCTATGAAATGAATATCCCTTATATAGATTGTTTGGTTAGGAGGAATATAGCCAAATCATTCATTCTTATGAAATGAATATCCCTTTGTTCTCCTTTAGAAAAAGGTATTCATGAATTTTTTTTTTTTTTTGAGGATTCTAATTTGAAATATCTTCCAACATTAAAAATAGAGTATCTATACATTAAAATGAGCGTTTCCAAATTAAAAGTTATGAAAATACTCATTTCATCTATGTGATCGACTGGATCTAGAGTACAAGTCCAAATTTTAGGTATTTGACATTCGACTTAGAATCTAAATATAAAATCCTGAATTTGGGATCTCAAACATAGAACCAATGAACAAAAACTCAAGCACTAGACATGTAACCTAGGTCACTGCATCTCAAATTTGAGTTTAAGATTTAGAGCATTTACAATGGACTCCTTAAATTACCTCCTTAGATAAAATTTAAGGAGAAAGTGAGAAAAACTCACCTCCAACCACATACTTTAAGTTAAAATTTAAGCACTAGAAAACTTACTTTAGATTTTACATGAAAACTTATGATTGTAAATCCTCTTAACCGCATACTTTTTTTGTTTTTTTGGTCTGAAACTTAACCGCATACTTTAGGGTCTAGTGACTGTAAAAGCTTACTTTCATGTGGGCGGCTAAGCTTAACTAGTGAGATGGTGTTATAATCAAATCAAAAGGCACGTTTTCCAAAGTTGACTGTGTTTTCTTCTTTGATCGATAATTTGGCCATATTATAAGCACTAGACTTCAGCCATGCCCATCTACGGAGTATCATGTTGGTAAATGCAGAAAGAAACAACGCTCATAATTTTATCCTCCATTTCCAAACACAGTCATATATGCATATTCAGTAATCGAAATTATTTATTAGTTTTAGCCATTTAATTATTCATATATTTGTTTTAGTTTAATTTAACAATTTGCGTCGTTCTACACGTTTTAAACGACGGAACAACTTTCGATACGGATCATTGTTGTAACATAAACTAAATTACATATGATTTTAATTGTTTAAAATGTAGGGGATTGAATATTCCATTAGACCATTCCTACAACATGAACACCTCGACGTATAACAGATGAAGCATCGAAGAAGGATGAGGACAGGCATGGCATGGGTGTGGATCTGGATGACGCAATATTAGTTAGGTCATTTGCATTATGTAAGACAAACTTACTAGATCTACGCGTTGTTAAACATATATTTCTTATTTATTTATTCCTTTTGTTGATCATGTACGAATAATATTTGGTGCTTATGTTTGAGATGACGCATCTCTATTGTCTGTACTTCCGAGTTTGATGGGGATGGGTTGACCCAGTTGACGAGGTTTACTAGCTGGTGGGGGGAGGTCACGGTTTTGGACTTTTTTACTTTGCATTTCAATTAGTTAATTAGTAGTATCTTACTTTTGCCTTTTTCACATTAATTTATAATATACATTTAGAATCCTCTCGTTCTTTTAAGAAAATAAACTCTTATGTAATGGGAGGAATAACACTTTTTGTTATTTCTGATCAATACCGCAATGACATGTATGATAAATTTTCTATGTGCCATTGTGTTATTAATCAGAAATAACAAAATAATATTATCCTCATTACATGTAAGTTTCTTTTTTGCTCTTTTAGAGCCTCTAGAAGATTGGACTAACAAATTTATCATTGGTCATGTCAATATATGATTGGTGATTCATTCGTAATGAAATGAGGTACTTTGTGAATGTTTGGTCGGGAGGAATATAATCACATCATTGATCATTCCCGTGGAATGAATATCCCTTTGGTTGTCCTTTGAAAAATAAAGTATTCATTGGTTGACTCACACATAAATTTGAGAATGAGCACCTATAGAATGAAATGAGAGTTATCAAATTAAAGTTTAGGATTATTCATATTTCATTTATGCAATTCACTTGGTTCTATTCTATGAATTAAAGCTCTCATTTTTAGGTTTTTCACATTCGACTCATGATTTATATATAAATTTAAAATATGAACTTGGGACTTGAAATCTCAAACATTAAATCTATAAACAAAAATTCAAGCACTAGACCCGCAACATATGTCCTTGAACCTCAAATTTAAGCTTAAGATTTAAGATTTTGAACCTTAAGTTCCATACCCAAAATTAGAGTTGAATTTGAGACTCAATTATCAAGTTTCGTATTTGAAAACTAAGAAAAAAAAAACCCCATGGAACCAATTGTGACTTTTAACTAAAAACTTGTCATCCAAGATGAATCTTGAACTCTGGATGTAACATAAAAGATTTAAAAATATATGTCCAGTTGGGTTTTATTCTAAACACATTATTATAAGTATAAGATTCAACTTGGGGTGTTACTCTTCCCTTGTTTATAAATTTATTTATTTTTCCAACAAAGGGAGCATGAGGAATGAACAACACACGTGCTCGAATCCCATATTACCCTTCCCCCGCGTAATCTGCCCTAACAGCACTCTCTGAAGTAGCCACGTGTCCACCTTTGACGATTGCAGCAACCTAGCTTACGCGCCTCTGCAGTGTTGACTATCCCCAGTCATCAGTCAAAGAAACCCCTTGCCTTCCCAGGGGCCAAGCCCCAACCCCAAAACCCACATATATATATAACGCAGAGCCGCAAATTCCATTCTCAGATGCATACAAGTTATAACAAAACCCACAACAAAACATCACTCAACACAACTCAAAGTCAAATCTATTTTCTACTACTACGAAACGGAGTCGTCTTCTTCCTCGTCCATGGTGAAGCAGCAGCAGACCATCGGGAAGCCCTCGGAGCGAAACGACTTCAAGTACAAGGGAGTACGGAAGCGCAAGTGGGGCAAATGGGTATCCGAAATCCGCCTACCCAACAGCCGCGAGCGAATCTGGCTCGGCTCCTACGACTCCGCCGAGAAGGCGGCTCGCGCTTTCGACGCCGCGCTTTTCTGCCTGCGCGGCCGCACCGCCAAGTTTAATTTCCCTGACAACCCGCCCGATATTTCGGGTGGTCGGACGCTCAGCCCGACCGAGATCCAAGCCGAGGCGGCTAGGTTTGCAAATTCGGAGCCTCAGACAACCCAGCACCACTCGGATCATTCGATGTCGGAGTTGCAGACGGAGTCTCAGTCTCAGTCTCAGTCTCAGTCTCCATCCCCGTCCGTGTCGGAGGGGAGTGGAACCGTCCTAATGGACAGTGATTTTCAAGTGACTCAAAACGATTCGTTTTCGGATCTTTTTAGGACGTTCGGGTCGGGTAATTACGCAACGGAATACGGGTTGTTTCCGGGTTTTGATGAGCTGAACGGGCAGTTTTTCAGTCCAGTAACGACAGAGCCAACGACGGGCGTTGATTACTACGCGGAAGAGAATTTGGACGGCGCTATGCCGGCTCAGGGGTCTTTCCTCTGGAATTTCTAAAATCGGAATTCCCAAACACGTACACGTACACAGTCTAATTGAGATAAAAATAAAAAAGTATAATTTTTAATTTTTTTTTCAACGGAAACGGGTTGGAGCTCCGGAGAGTTTTAGTTTCTCGAAGCTTGATTACGTAGCCCGATTATGGATGAACCAATTTTTGAGGAGACCATCCTAGATTGCATTCATTGTTCTCTTGTTCATGCAACTAGTACAAACAACACAATTGGACTCGTATAGATTTTTGTAACTAAATGTATTTATTCCGTGGTTAATTGAGTGGAAATTTTATTCATTTCAACTTGTGTTTTTTATTCAAGATCAAGAACGAACAACCACCATAGAAAATATAGTTCCAACGAAAAGACCTACTAACTCTCCATTATCTAGAATATAATAATAATAATAATAATATTGGAATAGAATAATGCACTCACGTTTTAAACAAGCATGTCTAAACATCCCAATCCAAATCCAGGGGAGTCCACACAGCAAGTGAATGGAAGGGGGCCACCTATCAATTACCACGTGCATGCTTATTGCCCTAAAATCCTACTAGTCCTTTTTCTGAACCTAGCTAGTGTATTATTTCATTCCAATTTATGGTAAAAATTCATTCGTCTCAGTTAATTCACAAGAAGAAAAATATGAAAACCAGGGGATTTGTTGATTTTCAAATAGTTAGTTTTGACAGTATGATCGGATACGAAGACTTACTTTACATTAGGATCAGAAAATTGTAGTACGTGTGAAATTATTTATGATAACTTAATTTCCTACAATTTTAGAGGGAACCAACTTCTATTATATGATGGGTTCGAATTCAAATGTATAACCATCTTGTACAACTGGATAGAAGTAATGAACATTAAGGAAACTAAGAAATTTATTGATAGATATAAAAAAGTTATAGTGCCTTTGACACTAACTAGAAAATGATAGCAACCAACCTAGTCTACCCCTAATCAAAGCTTTGGTTACTTACCAAATTGACCTCATAATAATACAATACTTATCTAATCTAAAAAAACCCTATAACCCTAGCAAACAGCTTCCACAGCCAGCCTCTTTACAGAAGCACCACAATTTGCTGATCCAAGTTTGCTCTCTGAAACATCGATCGAGCACTTCTCCTTGCCCACACATTCCTATAAAATCACATTACAAAAAAAGGGGATACATATTTATTTACATAATTAAGAAGGAAATGCAACTTGAATTTTACAACAAATGATTGGGGAAGAAAAATAATACTTACGTTTTGAATGATAGACAATACATCCTTGGCATCACAGCTTCCCTTCTCAAATGATCCGCATCTGCCTTGTGGATTGCCAAAGCTAGCAAACTTGATTGCTGAAATCGGACGACCTTGGCATGCCAATTCCAATGTGTGCTTCTCATGGGCATTTGCACACACTGTTCCAGTTGTGACGGTTTGGAAATTCACAAGAGATGGGTTGCCACCAAATTCCTCAAACAAAACCAGAGTGTTCTCACCGTCTTGCATAAACGATCGCGGAACGTGATACCTTAAACACAATAAACATATAATTAAAATCGTGATTTAAGATAAACAAGCAAAAACATTTGATGAGCAGCCAAAGAAAAATGTTGGTAATTACCATCTCTGAGTAGGTTTGCCACAATTGAAGACACACTTGTTGTTATCGTATGAGCCACGGTAGTCACAAGCTTCAAGGCTACAACCATCTTCCTCAGCCAAATAGCTTGGCCAATATCTCCCAAGGCTATTGCCATTGACCCAAGCATGGCCCTTGCCTAACCCTTGCAGGTCCACAACAACTGGATCAGTTCCCAGAGGAGCTTTGAAAGTCGTCTGAAACAAAGCAAACATAACCAAATATTATTATATTGCTTAAAGTGTTACTGAGTAATTAAAACAAGCTTAATGTTTGTAACATTTGGGTTTACTTACCTTGTACCATGTCATCATCCTGTTAATTGGTAGGTTTTCGGCTGACCATTTAGCCGCGTAACGAGAATCGGTGCTAAAGAGCTGGTTCTTCAAGCCATGTAGCCCAACCTCGTATGACCATTTGTGTGCTGATAAATCCTTGATCACCATTTCATCACCATTTTGTCCCACCAAAACAACAGGACCAGGAACTCCAGTATTTATCACATCAAATCCACCTCCATAGTTCTGATCATAATCCACAAATTTAAAATTAATTAAAACTGATATAACTAATCACAACCACCTAATTGATCTTAAGACAAGAATGCAGTTAATACGAACCGGAAATCCAACGGTGGCACTCAGCAAGGAAATAACGTTCTTTCCGGGGTTTAACTTGACATTTTTCTCAAAAACATAATTGTAGTCATTGTATTTAGCCCATTCAGAACCTATATTTACAGAGGTTAGAGAAATAAAAAAATTTAACAAGCAAACAAAGGTATAAGTAAGTAGTTAAGATACATTAACAAATCAGATTCCAATATCTTACCAAGATATTCTCCATTAACATATGCATGAAGGATAAAACCAGTGGCATTGATCTTTAGAGTCATGTTCCCACTCCAGATTGGATCGTCTTTGTTGAGATGAACACTGCTCAAAATCCAAGTTAAACAAATTATAAGATACAAAAATATGTACACATGGAATTTTAAAAAAAGATACAAAAATAATTAAAACATTTAATAGTACCTTGTCATGTACCAAAGATAATCACTAGCATCAGCTGCAACATCCTTCTGATCCATGAGTTTATTTGCAGTAAATTCTCCCTTTCCTTGAAGTCTTGTGTCATCAATGTTTTCAGGCCTCCACAGCCAGCCAAGAGATTCAGGTTCATCCTCAGCCTTGTTCACCATTTTCACCTTAACTGATGTTTGTGTGTTCACCTAAAAAAAGGGTAAAAAACAAATTAATAAAATAATTAATATATATATATATATGAAGCAATTTTGAGAAATAATTAGTGCATACCTTTGCAGTGTTATATCCTTCAGTTTTGCAATC